AGATTTTGGTGTATGATATCAGTTAATAGTTGCAACGTTTGTTTTTTGAAATGTTAGAATCCCTTGTATGAACGATAGTTTGTTACGGTATGCTGTTTAACTAACGCTCGAGGATATCTTTATTCCTTTAATTTATGCCCTACGCGTGATGCAAATCCCAAACTGAGTTTATATTAACGAGCAAGCGATAAATTTGCAAATTTGCCTCTTATCTACATTTTTATCCTCAGCGCCACCATTTTTGTCTAGGGATTAAAAAGAAGAAAAAAAATTTGGGATGAAATAACTGTTAAACTAAATAAGATGTTGCGGCCGAGGAAAAGGAACGTAAAAGTGACTGACAGTGGTTTTATTGACTTCATATTCTGGAGTATTACTTCTGCAAGGAAAATATAGACGCCACTATCAAATGATGTCAAACTCATCGTATTGTATAAAAATATTGGTTAAAATTGTTACTAACTAATCCTTGTTATCACTTTTATCATATTTATATATTGACACGCAGAATATTACTCATGTATTTTGAATAGTCCTTTACAATATTCATTATATTCACACTATATAATAATTTATAATATAACACGATTCAACCATGTAATCCCGGTTAACCACTAAATTAAACACGACGATATATTTGCTATTTTATCACAAAATATCCCCTCTCCGTTATACGTTCACTTTACAAATAATCCCGTTGATGAAAATTTAATTTCCAATAGACTAGCTGCATTCGGCAGAAAAGTTCAATTGTTCACATTAAATAGTAATAACGTTCCCGAGAGAATCCTGATTTACCTTAATTTATTTTAAATCGTCTAATCGAAACGATTTTTTGGATGATAAATGATTCATCCAAAAACATCATTCATTAATAACTTGATGTTGGTTAATGTAAAAAGGAGAAAAAAATAGTAAATTATGAGTCATATTGTAGATACAGAATGAAAGCAAACACCATATGCTCTCCTATCTTGTTGAGTGTATAACATCATTTCACCATTTTCCTTGAATACGTTTGTATTAACTTGGCTTATTAGCCTAAATGGTTAATGTTTAACTTGATGAAGTACACAAATAGATTAAATTAAAAACTTCATTACCTAAACTAAAGTAATTTTACAATCTATAAAGATCCTTTGCTATATAGTTGCTGAAATAATAATATTTTTAGTTCCTATCACAATTTCTGCACCGCAATGCAGATATGAGAAAATTCTTCGTGCATCATTACCTACCAAAACCCATTCAAAAGTAAGCAATAATTCATTTGACCGTAAAAATCTCCATAGCACAAAAGCTTTTATAGTCTCCGCGTGAGTTACGCTTTTAACTTGACGTATAACATGAACTGCTCTCTGTTGAAGGTTTTTGTTACGTGATTGATGTAACACATTTACATCCAATGATTCAGTTTAAAATAAATTTAAAAAAACTGCCTAAAACTTTCCTGTGAAAATAAAATATAAAAAATAAAATAAAATAAAGAGAATCTGTAATTTTATATTGTAGTTATTACAACGGTGTTTACTAAAAACGTTGCGTAGCATATTTTACCTTGAAATTTCAAACGTTTTAAAACATAAACTATAAAAATTACAAGCCAGAAAATCTGTAAACCTATAAAACTTCTTTAACTATCTGTTAATGCGTTTTTGTTTTTAGTTCCACTTTTTGGTAATTTTCCCATAGCGTGTTAGTTTAATACGCATCAAATTTTTATTTTACAAGGGCAATTAAAACCAGTTTAAGTTAATTACCGCGAAAGTAATTTTAGTCAATTAATTCAAAAGAAAAATCTCGACTATAAATTAATTGAGTAAAGTACACTTATCGATAAAAGTAAATGTTTTTCGTTCCTATTAATAATAAATAATTGGTAAATCAGTGTCTACGCGTCGACATATTAGAAATATGCACACCTCCATCAAACAATTTACATTAACGCATTTGTGTAAAATACTTAATGAATATTGCACCATTGTAAAAAAACGTTCAAGTGTAAACTTGCGGTCACAAGGAACCATAAAAACACAGGCGGAATTGTTACGACTCTGTTTATTTGCCACAAGTCTTCCTCAAATGTCGACGTTTCTGTTTTTATCGCCCTATAATAACCGCTTTTTGGGTCAAGATCATTTACATCAGTTAAAAAAATTGAAGTAAAAAATTTGTGCGTATCGTTAAGTATTTATTAAGTTGAGAAAAAACAGGAAATTAATTGCAATCATTTTATCATTCACTAATTTTTTTTCTGCAATTCAGATGGATGCCTAGAGTTTTATTGCTAAAGTGATTTGCAATTAACAGTGGTCGATAGTAAATTTTCAAAATTGCTTATTATTCAATTTATACGTATGTGTTATTAAAATCAAATTTGTAATCATATTTTTTTTTCAATTTCATTCATAAAATTTATAGACAATTTTAACATTTATGTTTTCATTTCAGTTTGCTGGTAAATGAAGTTATTTTATGTTTCAAGTAAATATTCTTGCCTGAATTTTAACGGGAATATACACGTTTGTTTAATCATATTGTGTTTTGTTGTAGGTCTTATTAATAATTCTTTTTAATGAGATAAGTCGTCCAATTTCCTTGAAATCAAACCCTTGTTCTGGAACACTCCGACATGACTATTAAAAAATCTGGACTGGAACCAACATTTTTCGTCTCACTTTTGCAAATACCAGAGCCACCAGATTCTCGAGATGAGCAGGTTTCTCTTGATGAGGTAAACGACTTCTGTTGGGACTTGAATCATTTTTTTGGCAATTATAAAAGAACGTTTTAAAAATATACTGAATTGCCAAATTGTAAATTTGCGATAAACATCAAATAATCTTGAGGATGAACTCTTGGGTTACAAATTCTGAGTCTCTCAAGTTTTCTTTACTTTTTTCCTTTCGATTGAGTATGACGTTTTGGTTCATGTCTTAAAAAGAATATCATAAAACCAATAATTCTTTTTCTAATCATTGCCACATAAATTCCTTGGACCTCAATGGAAATCCTTCGCAAATTCAATATGCATTAGTGTCTGCATATATAAGATATGTTTTTGGCACACTTGAAAACTTTGTGGATTTGTCTATTTCTTAGCTTCAATAACTTTAGTCACTTAAATCGTTAAGATGATGGCTTGAGGATGTTTTGTGTCAACTTGGTATTTCCGGATACCGCTTTTGAGGTGCATACCTTTAGGTTCTTCACAGCCTTGACGTTGGAAGGCAGTAGAAAATAAAAGATTAAAAACCGTAGCAAATCTGAACCTCCAGACCACCAGGCGCCAAGCATGGACTTTGCTGAAAAAAATGGGTAGCGGAACACCTTCCCATAGACAAAAAGCAAACATCTTTCCAAGTACCAACTCAGAATTCAGAATGACTGGAATGTGGCTGGAGAAGACTGAATAAAGAGACCTGAAAAAGCTGAGATAATAGTAGTGCTTAGGAAAATCACGTCAAAATGTACCCCAGCTCACACCCAATCCCCTAACGAAAATTTTATTAGAAAATCAAAACGCAAGACTGCGACCACTGTCACGGCACACGAGAATGGTCAAGGTAAAAGGTATAAGATAGCATACCATATACAGTAAATAAATAAATAAAAAAGAGAATAATAAAAGAAAAGAAATTATTGATATCTCATTAACAAGTTGACAAGGGTAGACTTAAAGGCTCTGAGAGATAACCTCTTTAGGTCATCAACTTATGCTTAAGAGGAGAAATTCTACCCCTGAACCTCGTATTCAGATTGTGCACATCACACCGATATCTTATTTTGTTTGTCAGGTAGGAAGGCTTCCCACTGATCAAAATCTTATGATAGAGACAAAGCGTTAGCAATTTACGTCTATTGTACATATTTAATCAACCCATGTCACGAAGATTATGCGAAATACGAGCAGACTGTATCAGCAGAAATTCATAATCCTTTGAAGTACTGCCTGATCAAGCTAAACATCCGCAGGAATAAACTTTGGAATGAATTCTCCAGTAAATGGGTCAATGCGCACATTTTGCAATTTCATGTACCAACTTTTTCTTTTTCATTTTTTTTATTACATTTAGCATGTTGAAATTTATTTTTTGATTCACCCTCATAGTACATCATTTTTTAATATGATCTCATTTACATATAATATATTTTGTTACAAATTCATTTTTCAAGCGTTGCAAATCTTTCTAACGAAATATGCCATAGCGGATCTGTACAAATAATATGTTTAACTGAGACCATTCTCTAGATATTAATAGATATTAATCTCTTCTATCTATCATCAAATACGTATGATAACGGTTTTGGAGAGGATGCGAAAATAAGTTTCTAACAAAGCTCAAAATTTCAATTCGGAGATTGTGCTCAAGTGGATTACTACTAATTCTAAGTCTAATAAGTAATCAAATGTTTAAAGTGTTTCCTGTACTGAATAGTATCTTATTTATTAATTAACACTGATAATTCAGATAGTTATTGTTCCTCAAATAATAGATAAGCTATTTGCTGTTAAGTTTTAATTCTGAATAACCAAGGTTAATGTGACAATGTTACTCATAAATATCTTGAAGTTAGTAATGATTGTTATTTGCATTCATAAACTTGAAACATATTTTCTACCATCTCAAAATAACTGAAATAACTTGATTGTGAAATTATTTCTTTTTAAGTTAATGTTCATAACAAAATCAAATTTTTATTAGAATTACTTTTATTTTCGATTATGTATCAGTTTCGAAATAAAACTTCAACTATATAATATCGTAACCTTTGAAAAAAAAAACTAAATTGTTCTATTATTTAGACGTGAAATTTAAAAAAATTTATAAAGACCTTGCTAAGATTAGATAAATTTTAAATCAACACCTTAAAAATTTTTAAATAAACACGTTCCATCCTTCGACAAAATCAATACATCAACGCAAACGACAAATCCTATCTCAAACAACCTCCCACACATCCTACTTTAAAGTTTAATGTAATAATATCAAGTTAATCTACCGGGACTCCCGTCAAACGAACAGTCCATGCGGTGTGGGACACGCAAAATACCAATCTTATCTAAACTCTCCGTACCGAATTCACATTTTGAACCATAACGTTACCTAAAACCCGCAACCACATCCCCCATTTCCTCATATTCTGCCGAGAATCTCTCATCGGTGTCGCAATTTCGTGCGGCGTTTCGATTACGACTTCCGAATAATACGCGAAACCATTCAGCAACCTACTCAACGACAAACGAATAATTACAACCAAATGGTAATTATGTTGACAAAGTGAGGCGACGATTATACATCGAGTTTTGCATGATTGTGCTTCTAAACGTGCCTTAGAAGTTAGTAGTTCGAGGAGTGCGTTAAAAGTTGCGTGAACATTTTTTTTAGTTATGCTTCTCCGTTAATTTTTTCTCATCAAAAAGTGAATTTAAAAACATGGTGTTTTAATGAACGGTTTCTCTCTATCTGGCTGTGATGAATAAAACGTAGGATTCTAAGATTTAGGCGTAAGGTAAATATTAATTTTTTTTGTTTGTGTTGATTTTTATGGAGACGAGTCAATTTGCAAAATGATTGTGTGTATCTTATCGTTAAAGGTATTGATAAGACATTAAATTTATAATTATTTATTGCTATTGCAATGATATTTATAGATAATTTCATTTAGACAATTAACTATATAGAATTAATTTGAAAATAAAAAGTTTTCATTCTCCATATTAAAAATCGAATGTTTTCTTATGGAGTTATTTTATAACATATCATAAAATAGGTTTTGTTTAATAGCTTCATTATGAGGATTGTTGAAATCTAAAAATAAAATAACTATCATCGTTTGGAGGTTTTATGATTTTCCATTGAAGTTTCATTATTTATAACCGGTCAAGCTAATTAGTGAAAATATGAGAAATATCATTAAATACTAAATTTGCATTACGCACATACTTTATTTCTAAAAAAATAATATAAGTTGGAATGCAAACAAAGTTAAAAACGTAGATTCAAATAAATGCCTCAAATACCTAGAATTTTACAAAAATATACTTTTTTTTATTATAACGTACTATTTACAAAGAGCTATTAAGAAAAAATATATTTAAATCTTAATCTGAGTTTCAAAAATAAACTTATTATCTGATCGGAATCAGTTTAATTTTGAGCTAATATGGAATGTGTATAAATAGAGTTAAATATTCATGATACAGATTTTACATAGAGTAACAAATTTCGATTCAAAATTTAATAGTTATTCTCCTGTGTTTAATCATAAAACTAAACATTTAAAGAAATAAAAAACTAATAATTCTATTGTTTTACACAATATAATTTAACGCACGTCACGTATTATATTCCTATAAAACTTAAATAAAAATGTATGTCGTAAAATTCCAAATCAAGGATAATAAAAAAAAATGCAATCACAAAGCTAAGAATAGGAACACACCGTACACTATAAAGCTTATTATTGTTACATTTTAATCTCTGATACTTATTCTCATATTGTGTACGGAGATACGATTATGTTCTTATCCATTGTTATCGTACAATGAAATCTCGGCAAAGTGCAAGCACGTCGGCTACAATACCTGAGGGGAAGTTCAACAACTCATCCAACTTAAAATTGGGCTAAGCTAGCTATAAATCCCTAACTTTACCAAATAATACCATCTAGGAAGTACATAGAAGCTGACGTACAGGTAACTTATCTTTGGTTTAGAAATCTGAATAAACAAGAAATAGAAAAATCGATCGAAATCGAATTACGATCTGTACAGATTTTGTGTACTTATTGTGTTACATAAATAGATCGAATGTTGCACGAATCGAACCCACGTATTTACATGTTGTATAGGTGTAATAATTCGCTATGCAATTCCCATTTGGACAGTAATATGCATTGCTAATCTATCGACTCCATATTTTGTAGAACGTCAGATCGGACAATAGGATTATATGTTTTGTTGGAGATTATCGGGGACTTCCCAGTATTACTTTATTATTTTATTTCTAAGAAAATAGTGGACAAAAATCGACTTGTAAAATGGTATTACAGCTAAGGTTAAACATAGCGTGTATTATTTACGACGCTTATACAAACAGTTTTTACGAGTGTATTTTGCGTGAGTAGTAATTAACATGATGGTATATGTATTTGTTATGTGGAGTAATCGGCGATCATAAGTAAAAAGCTGTTGTTTTAATTTTAATTAGTTTTAAGTCGATTTTGACGCAAAACCTTTTTTCGTATATTTACGCAGTTTTGATGTCAAATCGATATAGCGTTATATTACAAATGTTGTTGTAAATTTGATTACTTTCTACAATAACATTTTTCTTATAAAAAGCAATTATCACTAAATCGATTATAATTAAAAACAAATAAACTGAGAACGTACAGGCTTGAATTGACCTTTTGCTTGCAAATGATATAAAATGTTTCAGATATTTTGAACATTTCTGCAATACTGTACATTTTTTTAAATGATTCTCCATGATTGGCACAACGTTGATCTGAATTTTGACATTTTTCAGTACTTTTAATTCTTTTCAAAATTTAGAATCTTTGCAACATGAATATTTAGAATAAGATCAATAACTTTTTCTGAACATAATGGTATTAGTATACGTCCAAGAAAGAATAATAACTTATTAGAATTAGTTCACGGGATCCATAAATTATCTTCAGTTACAAACCAGTATTTACATCAATGTTGTAGTAAAACATCACTGATGTTACAAAAAGCTATTATAAAATGAATAGATCAGTAACCAAACCACTGCCAAAGAGACAGCGGAATCGTCCTTTATGAGACTCCAACCCGGTTGTGAACTACAAAAAAGTCACCTATCAACAGTTGGGAGGCCTCAAAGGTACCTATCCACCCTATCTATTTATTGCCAACCGAATCCCAAAGCAATTTACGTAAAAATTAACAACAAGCTAATTCTACAACAAATTAACCCAACCCATTGTAATTTAAAGTTGACACGTTGATAGCTTTATGAACTATTCGGATAACGAAATATTTGAGCAAATTAGCTTTTTCGTTTGTATATCCTGGTCGTTTACGTAATATATAATAATTTATCCTTCCTTACAAAACATTCAAAAACGTTGTGTTGCACTTTTCCGTCGTTAAAGTAGTATCTATTTCCAGCGTTCTGTTTTCTCCCCATCATCCATATTTAAAGAACGTGTATACTTGAAGTCGTCTTTTTCGCCGTTGTACATGTATTGATCGTCGTTCAATCTTTTGTGTAAGTGAAGTAGCTTCTTATTACTCCATCTTCTCTTCGCAATTTGAGTTTTCGGCATATTCTTTTTTCGTCGAATATTATCAGTGGTTTTTGATGGTTAAAAGTTTAATTTATAAAAAATATACCTCAATTAAGTTGATAATTTTTTTTCAATATCAAAAAAATGTTTCATTACCTCTTGGTACATTGACCTTTGCCATTGTCCTTCAAAATCACTATGGTTTCTTTTTTTAGTAGTTTCTATTGATTCTTAGATTTAATGTTTACATTTTCAAGATTTTCTTCTGCATCATCTTGTTCTTTATCAGTATCAAGATTTTCTTCATCTGATTCTCCGAACCATTCATATTCCGATCAATCAATCCGCCATTCAGAGAAATTCTTAAAACAAATTGTAAAACATTTATTAGAATCCAAATGTAAATGTTTTCTCAACGTAGATTAATTTTAGCACTAATATTTTCAAATCTGAATGCTACAATTTTAAAGCATTAGAATAAGACACTCAAATATTTTCATAATTTTGAAATACCTGTATTTTAGTTAAAAATATGTTGTGTACATTTTGTTATAATGAAATCAAATAATTTTTGTTTACAAAATTCTTTGTTTAATAAGCTTCTAGAAAGTGTTTGTATATTTTAAAGAAAAGAAGTATAAACATAGGAGGTAGTTCCTATATTTATAAAAATCGTTCAGCCTAACATGTTTACATAGCAATATTTAACAAATTAAGAAATGTATGTGTTTGCAGAGAGTGTTTAATAGTCAGAATGTGATAAGATAATCTAAATATGCTCAGAGGATGTAGAGGTTTTCAAACCACAACCAATTTGATTAAATTCATTACTTTGCAGGATAAAACTTTTGATTTAAAACGTGTGGAATTGTACTTTATTTAATATATTTGTGTTTGAGTGTATTAATGGTTAAATCTTTGTAGATTTAAATAAATACATCATAATACACACTTTTCGTTCCCCTTCAAAAAGCATATGCCGAAACAATAAACGAATAGATATTTTAGTATAGTTTGTAAACCAATAGACTTGTGGAATCCGCCCGTTGGAATTTTCAAGGTTCCTCCGAATACAAATTTGCGTAAATGAACAATTTTATGCGTGAAAATATCTTCAAATATACACCAAAAATACATAAAATTATTAATAAATCAATAAACTAAAAATATTGTTATACATTTCAACTATAATTGTTGATAAAATATTTAAAGCTCAAATTGCGGCGATAACGGTAACTTTGTATTCGCTGAAATGAAACCGCACGCGTACTATCGATAAATACTTTAGGAATAATTGCGCCCTTTTGTTTGTCTTAAAATTCATGCCGGAAACGGATAATACAGATATTGATCTGGGTTGATATTACCCATTTGCACCCTTTACCGCACTTAACCCCAATGCCCGGGCAATCGTAATTCAACCTAACGATTCCTATCGAGTTTTGACCTAGGAAATAATTTCCTCTATCAACGTTTATCGTTCTTGCTGTATACCATCCGCCGACCCCATTCTCTTGTCCATATGGATTTGTAGCAAATTTACCTTCTGATAGCTTCCTCTCTCTTGAGATTTAACGCATTCAACCACATTTACAATTAAAAAAAAAATTATGGAGCAATTTTGTCTATAATGTTGTTATACCGACATTATTTCAATCAATTATAATAAAAATGACTTACAAAAGATACGATATGAATATAAATTATTAGATTATAGAATTATTAAATTCGATTATAGTATGTATAAAATAAATCAGACCACACAAAATATTATAATAAAGCAATTGTGATGTAATATATCAAAGCAAAATGTTATTTTCCCTTTTACCCATTAATATAAATGATCACAAATTAATTTAATTCCTTTTGTAATTCAAAACACAGACCGTTTTATTTATATGAATGAAATGATTCATTAAATCCATTGCATTTACAACCACTTCCTCGTTCATTTCGAAACGATTATGTCATCCTTGATATCGGAAAAATATTAAAATGGTTACTTACAAGAAAATATCACATACAAAAGACGTAAATGTATCGGAAGAGTTTCTGATCGTATTTCGTATGCAGCCTGGAAATGTTTTTGAGATAGCAACGAAAACGATTTATGTGTGAAAAACTTTATGATAAATGTAAAAAATTTCTTTTCTGTACCTATATACTGAAAAGATTTATAATATACGTAATATGCTAAAAACCAGAAACCTCAAAAATTCGCATTTATGAAGTTT